TTTAATGACATAATACTTTTATCAGATCCGAATTATCTAAATCAAACAAAAAAGTTACATAACATTATAGAAAAATATATAAGGAATGTAATTAGATTATAGTAAATAATACTCTTTCTTTGATCTGGATTTTCTATATCAAACATAGAAAGTACAATAATTAAAAAAAGCATCACTTTAAGGATAACTATCAGAACAATTACATACTTGTCCCAGTGATTTTAATTTGTTACAAATTTGGTGGTTGATATGGTTCAAGGCCACCACTTTCTTCACATAACGTTGCTAGATCTGGTTCGATGTCACATCTCTCATCTAGAGACGAAACCCAAATGGACCTACCTATACATAACCTAATTCTATTTCATCATGGGTCTTGAAATTTAAATACTTAATTCTTTGTTTAAGAGAGAAATAATAGTGAAAGAAAACAAGAAGAAAAGAGGAAAAAATAAGGTTTGCGCCATGTGATTACAATGGTTTACAAGGCTTAAAATTGGGAAAGCTACAATGGAGTTTGACAAAAATGGAGGTTATTTTGTGGTAAAATTTATTGTCAATAGTATCTGTATCGATCATCTTTAGCCATAATGTTTTAGAATTCAACATTTGTGTATTTAGTATCAAGATTTGTGTTCTCTAAATAATCAAATTTTAATTATATACATAGTTTCAAAATTTAGTGGGTGCTCAGAATGTTGCATTTAATTTCTATGGTGGTTGTGATGATGGTGTATGATGGCAATGAGGAAGATTGTGTACTGAAAATAGAATTATACACGGGGTGGTCATCTATGTCTCTAATTTCATTAAAGAGTGGTTATAGGTAGTCACCAGTGATTTTTCATGGTTTTGGTCCCTGGTAAACTTGAAATGACAATTTTTCCCTTTTAATTTCTTTTCTGCATTTTTGTTTTTATTTTATTACTTTGTTTATAAAAATAAAAGAAAAATAAAAGAAAAACACAAATATGGCCCACCCCACCCTAATGGCATCCCCTCATTCCCCCCTCCCTCTCTCTCCCCTTTTCTCTCACAGACACACATCGAAAAACCTTAAAAACCCATTTCCCGATGGCCAGCTAATGGGTTTAATAAGCATATATACATGAAATTTAGGCAACAAAAGCATTAAATATAAACCCTAAGTGTACATGCACCCTCGATCTAGTTTTTACTATTATGACAACGTACTTTCAAAACTATGAATCTTGAGCTACAAGGTGAATAAAATTACTAACCTTTTGACAAAATTGAATTTGTCACTTGAACACTTGATGAATTCGAGTTCCTTGTTGCTCTTAAAAAGTTTAGCACCCAAAACATGAATGCCTCTAATGGCTCACACCCAAAAGACTAAAAATCCTAGAAACTTTTAGAGAGAGGAGAGAGGTTGAAATCCAAAAATTCTCAACCTTATGGAGAGTATGGTCGATTTTTATAAGGCCTAAAGGCGTATTTATATAGCTGTGGTATTTATCAGACAAACTTGATTTGAATCAATTAAATAATCATATTTAATCCTGGTTTAAATCTTTATCCTGATCAGTTATCAATTGGTGCTATGATTGGGTCTGTTAGAGTCATTTCTAGTGAATTAGTAGGAGGCTCTTGAAGTTGTAAGGAGAGAAAAGTTATATGCCAATGCTTCATATGCGAGTTTTGGTTACACGGAGTTTGGTTCTTTGGTTAACCTATCAACCAAAATAGTATCTTGCTCGGCCTAGCCAAGATCAAGGCTGAGTTGCACTGGGATGTTCCAAGGTCTCCATCTAAGATTCAAAGTTTCCCAAGAATTAGCTGGTTGCTATTAGAGGGTTTATCTCTTCTGTTTTATGCACTCTGGAAATCATGGGAGAAATGTGTCAATTGGTTAGGTTCTGGGAGTCCGATAATTATGGACGACATTCGGTAGTAGTTCAAACCCTAATTGGGAGAGAACCGAGTATTCTGATTAAAGGATTATGAAACAAGTTTGACATCGGGTTTCCGCATCCCGGGTCGAAGGAATCTACAACTCGAGTATGTAGGGTTTTTGGTTTGGTCTTAGTGTTGTCGGAAGGAAAGGGTGTCAGGCTATCGTTGGAGTGTACGGGGTTAAGAAGTTTTCTTGATGACGTTTCTCCTGTATCCGTCGAGCTTTTCCTTCGGTTGGAAGGAAGAATTCACTGATTGGTTAGGTCGTAGGTGAAACAGAGGGTAGCTATTAGGTTTATTGATTTAGGAAAGAATAAGTTGTCCTCATACCAGGGAGCTGCTGAACAAGAAATTCAAAGTGGCAAGAAGTCTTCCTTTGGAAAAATCAGTCACATTCATGAGAAAGAAATTGGATCGCGTAGTTAGAGTATTGGGATTAGAGCGTGTGGTTAGATTATAAGGAGACCGATTGTCATTTATCAAGGAATGACAACCGTAGAGCAGTTTTAAGCAGAGTATATGTGATATATTCATATGAGTTAGTTTAGGATATCGTCAATTGAGGGGGTGAGAAAAGATTATAGGAATGCAACTATAACATCCTAATACTAATGGTGTTTTTATATTCTTTTTTTGGGGGTTTTATTGTCAATAGAAAAGTAGACGGATGGGGCGAAGCAGGAAGCCATTAGTCACATTTGCTGAAAAACCTAAAAATGTGGAATTTATTGGAGGAGACGTGGGGAGTCTTCAGCCCAATGGGTTGTATGTGTTTTTAGGGTTTTCGGGATATTTAAGGTGCATTAACTCTAAGGGCTTGTAATTTCTCAGCCTCCATCAACTCTAGAATGATCCCTGAGAAGCCTTAGCCTCATTTTTCATAGATTGAGCTCATGATCTATAATATAATCCACGTTCTTTTGTTTTTATTGATTAAGAGTGTTGTGTTGTTGAAAAACTTGGTTTTGAAGCTTTACAAATGAAAAGATCATCCCTCATTCATCTTCTGGACCTTGGTTTGTTTCAAAGATTCAAGCTTTATTGGTTTTTCATCTTTAGATCTATGTGTATTTGGGGTTTTTGTCAATTTTTATGAACTTATGGTCCCTTAATGGCTTGATCTATGGATTTGGATAACTCAATGAGATTGGAGTCATGTTTGATTTAGATATAATATTTTGGGTGGAGTTTTGAGTTCTTGCATGATCTTTTTGCTCCATGCATGAAGCAAAATCCAATCTTGGACATTTTACAGATTAGGGTTTTAGATCTAGTTTTTTGAGATGTATTAATTAATAAAGTTGTAAACTTTATCTATTTAGAAATCATTTAGATCCAGATATGGAAGTTGGAAGCTTGTACTTAAGGGATTGAATTGAAAATTAAGTTCTGAATCTGGGAAGACGCGACACGTCTTTTAGGAGCCGCAACGCGCCTTTGGGGTTTTCTAAATGTGTCTGATTTTTTAACCGAATCTCAACTATTTTTTCCAGTAGTGGGCACAGTGCACCTATAGACCAGGTCTATGACTTTTTGGCATTTTGACCTTTTACCACGTTTAAATTTAGGTCAAACTTTGGGGTTAATTTTTAGAATAAGGACTGGTGTCGGTTTATCATTAGGTTGGATTGTGTTAATTGTTTCTATGATGGGGTTGCTGGTGAGCTTCTGTTGTTTAGCTCAGGTGAGTATTCTCACTACACTTTATACTATAGTATGGATCCCCTGTATGTTAGGATGTTCGTATGATGCAATGAACTGTTAGGTAGGTAGACTTTTAGACAATTGCATGTTGTAGCTAGTTGTTTGTATGTATGTATGTATGTATGTATGTATGTATGTATATATATATATATATATATATATATATATATATATATATATATATATATATATATATATATATATATATATATCGACATATCATGGGTGAGTTGAGGGCGGTCTAGTTTTACGTTGATGGCCACGATACTCAAGGCGGACCAGCTTTATGCTGAAGCCCAAAGGGGTGGACCAGCTTCATGCTAAAGGCCATTGCTTGTATACATTGTATGTATATTGTTGTGTGTGGTATTTTGGAGAACTGACTTAGCTTTGTGCTTACAATTTTGGATTAAATGTTTTTCAGGAACTTATCAGATCGTGGGAATGCGAAGGCGGGACTGTACACACACATCAACAAATTTATGCTTCGAGATTCCAAATTTCTTTTTCTGTATAACTCTATTTTTGAATTGTAGTTTATGAACAAATGGTTTTGCTTTGAATATATCTTTATGAAAATAGGTGTTTATTCTATTCTGAAAATGAAAATTTTATTTAAAAAATCGGGACATTAAAACAACCTTTTAAATATTTTATGCTTGTTAAAAGTAGAAGTAAGAGCATCCAGGACTAATTAGTCAGCAGTATATAGGAGTTATGAATTTTAATGGTTGGATCAATTTCAATCGATTCGTTGTCATGTTCACCAACAAATGATGTTGTTCGGAGAATCATTAGCGTAAGGATTGAAGGGTCAGATGAAGGGGCAATTTTCATTAAGCTCTATCGGTTTATGTTTAGACTTTTAGGTAGGTGTACCCTTGTTTTGATTGGTTGCGAAAGTATTCTTTTAAGCGGTTCAATGTTAAGCGACTGTTTTGAAGTAATAAAAACTTTAATGTCTGAGCGATATTGGCCAAATTACTCATGTGTGTCTTTGTGTTTGCAAAAAGTTCAGGTTTGGGATGTCGCGTAGGGATAGAAGTTTGGGTTGATTAAAGCAGAATTCACTCTACATTATTATGGGAAATTTCCTCCGAATTCGGGAGCTCTTACAAGTTACTTGCGCATTGTCGGAAATTTCTCAGATTTTACAAGGATTGGAATCTTATTTCGTTTGTTTAGAAGGAGGTTTTTTTTAGCATTTTGATGTTCATTAGTCTAGATTCAATGGTATTATCATATGCCTCCAGTTGGATGCTGCATGAAGGAAATAGATTCTTTTAGATATAGTAAGGTATTGGATTGTGATGCACCTCGCTCTTCGAGTAGAGTGAAAATGGATGGAATGATGAGAATCTTGGTAAATGGAGTGTCCCCTAGCGGATTACATTGGGGATGTTAGTGTGGAGCCCATAAGTTGAGGAGATTGGTTTGACTCTTAAATGAGAGGTCATGGTTTGAGAGCGATGGATAGTGGGAATATGTATCTCCTCGAAGTTCGATTCGACATTGGTATCCTTTCGTGATGAAATGTGAAATGTACCAGCATCAGTGTCAAACGTAGCATCTTCCATTTCTTCACTATCTCTATTTGTCTCAACCATTCGTAACAACGTTGGAGCTTTAGTAGATGTATCTTCGTCATTCAAACCTCTAACCTTCTGAATTTGTTTCAAGACACCAATAGCTTTTTGCTTCTTCTTTTCCTGAACAACAACATTAGGAATTTCCTTAATCACAAACCCTCGTAATTTGGTTTTCATCATTATCTTTTTAGGTTTTGTAGGGACAACCTCTTGAGTAGTAACCACCTCAGCAACATTCGGCTTATCAAAACCTACTCATGTAGACCTCTCAAGAAGTTCTTTCGGAACCTTCTTTGAAACTCTTTTCTTAGACTTCTCAGGAACAGTTTTCGCAGAAGGATCTTGCGCAACAACTTTAGGATTTGACTTAGATTTCTTCTTTGTAACTTGCAAATCTATAGAGGTTCCTTCTGCAAAAGTGACTTTCTTAGGAATTTCACCAGAAGAAGTCATATCCATGGTATCTTTATATTTTCACCAATAACGAATCATGGGTGATACCAAGTTGATCATGGAATAAGGAATTCTTCCAACATCATGGAAAATAAGTGGATCATCAATTGTAGATTTGGGAATAAAGATATGAGGAAATTGGGCAACTTCAACATCTACAAGAACAAGAATACCTGCCTAACTGTAGACTTCCTGTAAAATAAGACACTCCAAAACCGAAATTGGACCAGCAAACTCAGCCCAAAGCAACGATTCATAATCGACGTGCATACCATAATATAGTCCTACCATAACTGAATAGAACTGAAGCTTTACCTTATCCATATCTGTACTCCGACCAGTCAAACATCAAAGTGTAATCCCAAAGAAGAAATTACAAATTCCTGGAAGGTTCGCGTTTTTGAAACTACTCATAAGCGTGATAAGAGGTTGATACACCATTTCATTGAACATCTTGAGTATCTATTCAATTGTAGGAGCCTCAAACTTCCCTTCCAGTGGCAGTTGAAGAATTTGGGCAAATTGTTTCTTCGTCAAACACTTGCTCTTCTGTGATTCCATCTGGAACGTGATAATCTCAGCCGATTTATTATACACAGCAGTAGAAGTAGCAAGTGGCAACCACTTCATCGGAATAGAAAATGACGCAGATAAAGTATGAGCGAGACAAGAATCCTTCATAATTGACAAGCATTTGTAGTTTTTCTGGGCAATCTTCAACCACTGGATCAAACCAAACATTGTTTGATTGAACTTTCATACTCGGCATTGAAATTTCGTCAATCTGTGGTATTGAATTGATTAACAGTTTTGTTAACAGTAGACATGATGATCGAGAGAATTTTGATTTTGAACATAGAGAAGGGTTAGGGTTCTTGCGTAAATTCTAGGAGTTAGAAAGGTTTAATGGAATGATCTCCGAATCTTTTATAACCGGCGTCAAATTCAAATTCAAATTAGGGTCCAATCACCGATTGCCACGTGTAAAGTAAGTAGTTGAAACAACATCACCCCCTGCTGCCATGTGTAGAAGTAATGAGTATTTTCCTTGAGACATGATAAAGCAATAGTAACGTCCCATCCAACAGCTAATCCGACATTCCCAAAGACCAATCATCGTTATGGAGGTCGGGCCTCAATCACTTATGGGAATTATAAATGAAATCATAAGCCAGACTTTGCGAAATCTAGATCTGAATTTGTAATACCCATGACCTAAAGGACTACAGTGCTATTGTGTGCCAAACAAAAAGATAGAATCAAAATAAGAAAATTTTGGATTTTGTGATATGAAAAAAAATCTTTGATATAAAGGCACTAATATCCCAGGCAAAGATTCTTCATTCGTCATCAAGAGAGATGTCAAATTGCTTGTTTGGTTTCCCGTGAATTACAATCGAATACTTATAAATAAGTATCAAAGGGCCTCTTTTAACAAGATTTTTTGGGTGGTGACATTTTCATACAAATTCACAACTTAACATAAGTATGAATAGTTGTAAGAAAATACTTGTGTGACCAGTGTAGTAAGCTTCAGAAAAAATTTTAAGTGACAAAAGATCAAGTCAAATGTTCATACAAAAATCTCATTTCATATAAATAAAAAGCTAGATCTATTGGGAAGAAATGACTTGGGATTAGTACATTTCATTAAGATCACACAAAAGAAATGAAAATGAGATTTTGAACATTGAAAGTGGTACAGTGAAACATTAAGCTTCGTTAAAATCTTGAACAATAAATGTTCACCGTCAATTCATAAAGTTGAAGTTTGTTGGGTCTTACCCTTATCATGGAAAAATGAATTAGGATCATAAACATAGAATTTTGACATGCCTACACCCTAGTTGTTTTTTACCAGAGATGTCTTGAGTATGTGTCATTGTGTGTGCAAGTGTAAGAACTTTAGGGTGAAAAAGATTGGCTATGAAAATCCATTGTACCTCTGCGAATAATAGGTCCGTTCAATCATCTCTTAACTCAAATTAAAATGAGAAACATAGCTCGAGGACTATTATGAATACAACGTATTGGGAAGAAATTTTCATAAGAAGAATTTCACTAAGGTTCATACATAACGAGTCAATGAGGCTTTGGACAACATGTTGTCGCATGCTTCTAGGGACTCTTAAGTAGTTATGAGTTACAGATTTTACCTGATCCCTGTCGAGATATGTGTTGGCATGCTTACGAGTAACATGTATCACAATGGACTTCCCCAATAGAGATTACAAAATCATGAATAAAGAAAATATTTTTGTATTTCGAACTTTTTGATATAAAAAACAAGAAATTAAGAAAATATTTTTGAGTTTTTAATTTATGAAAGTAAAGACAAAAAAAATCTTTTTGGATTTTTGAATTTTATAAAATGAAAAGAAAAATTAAAGAAATTTTTTTTTGTATTTTTTTCTTTAAGTTTTTCTAAAAAAAATATTACCTTTGGTTATCATTCGATATTGATAATGAATAACCTACCACTCGCAAGCACCAACCCATCACAATTGGTAACGAGTAGTCATCAGGAATGGCCATTCGTTATTGCTCCCTACTCGCAAATGCCTTATGAGTAGTCATCAGGAATCACCATTTGTTATTGCTCCCCACTCGCAAACGCCTTATGAGTAGTCATCAGGACTCACCATTCATTTTACTTCCCTCTCGCAAACACCTTACGTGTAGTCATCGCTGAATGAATTAGAACAAATGTCAAAAACGAGCGGTATCGAATCTATGAATGTGAACAGTAACCTCTAAATGATATCATATTAATAACGAATTTTAGTCAAAATTTCTTTATTCAAAAACATGAAAGATTAGTAAGAGGTTTGAACATAACAAGCTTCCATCATTCCCAAACCATTTAAAATTCTCAAAAATGATTTTTCTTCAAGTGGTTTGTAAAAATTATAGCTAATTGATCTAAGGTTTTAACAAAATGGACTTCAATATTGCCATCTCAACATGATTTTTTATGAAGTGATATCGAAGTGCAATATGTTTTTTTTAATGTTGAACTGGATTATGAAAAATGCGAATTGGGCTTTAAGAATTACAAAACAAAGGTATTTTCTTCATATTTATCGCATAGTCAAGTAATTGACTTTGAATCCAAATCAATTGCAAGGTATAGGCAGTAGCAACAATATATCCAGCCTCCGCTGTGGAAATCGATATACATTTTTGCTTTTTCGACTGCCAACTCACAAGCTTCCCATTTAAGAATTGACATCCATATGTTGTGCTTTTTTATACAATTGACAACCCCCTAGACCAACATCAGAAAAATGGTTGAATAAAGAATAATGTGTTGGCCGGATACCACAATCCAAGAGTCGGTGTTCAATGTAGATATCGAAAAATATTCTTTACCACTGTGAGATGTCGTTCTTTGGGATTCACTTGGTACCTGACACAATTACACTTTGAAAACATAATATCAGGTCAACTTGTAGTTAAGTACAATAACGAACTAATCATGCTTCGATATGATTTTAGATCATCAAAATACTTATCTAATGAAGGACTTAAAATAGTGTCGATTGCCATGGGAACCTACACGTTTGAGTAATTCGTCATTCCAAAATGATCAAGCCGTTTTCACATATACCTTTCTTGATTAATAAATATTCCTTCCCTAATTTGACAAATTTTCAATCCCAAGAAATGATTGATTTGCCCATCATACTCATCTTGAATAGACTCTTCATCAAATCTTCAAATTCCTTTGACAACGAAGGTTTAGTTGAGCACAAATTATGTCATCGACATAAATTTGAACAAGCATAAGATGATCCCATACATTTATTTGAAATTGAGTTTGATCAACTTATCCTTGCTTAAGTTTGGCAATTTCCAAACATTGGTTAACGTAGCATACTAATGACGAGGTGCTTGTTTTAACCCATAAGCTGATTTGTCAAGGATATAACAATGATCAAGATACTTATCGTTTACGAATCTAGGTGGCTGCTAAACATAAACCGTATCTTCAAGTACACCATTGAGAGATGTACACTTTACATCTATTTGATAGACTAAAATTCTTGTGAACTATATATGCAAGAAAATTTCATACAACCTCGAGTCTTGCGACAGGGGAAAAGGTTTCATCGTAATCAATTCCCTTTTGTTGATAATAACCTTTAACGACTAGTCTTGCTTTATTGCAAACCACATTACCTTCTTTATCCATTTTATTTTTAAAGACCCATTTTAAACCAACTATCAAAACATTTTTAGGTTTAGGAATTAGCCTCCAAATTTTATTTCTCTCCAATTCAGACAAATCAGATTACACTGAATCAACCCCATTAGGATGTTTTGATGCATTATTGATTGTTTTCAGTTCAATTTTTGAAATAAAAACATTGAACATGCAATATTATTGATGAAAATTAAGAACCACATTCCTAGCTCGAACTTGTGCTCGTGTTAACACACCAGAATTTGGATTACCAATAATTTATTCTTTAGGATGATCACAAGTCCATTTCTCCATAGGAGGAAATGAGGGATCAAAATCCAAAGGTTCATCTTAATATATTTCTTCATCTTTAGAGAATTCTTCTTCAATAGAAATGTTATCATTAGCGTTATCAATGTCATTCTCTAAATTGACATTATCATCTTCGTTATTGGATCCACTTGGTTCTCTCTCAACCACGAGATTAGTTGCTTGTTGCTCCCCCTTAACACTAGCTTGCGAAGATAGAAGTTCCACATTG